CCCCCCCCCCCCGTAAATGTTTTTAATTCCCCCCTCTTTTTTTTTTTTTTTTTTTTTTAAAAAAAAACAGAACAATACTTTATGAAACAGTCATATGAGCCAACTTTGGCAGGGTGGGGAGAAGGGGAAGGAACTACAAATGGGAAAATACTCCTTATGACGCAAGCACAAGTTTTAGGTACCAAACTACGTGAGCATTTTAAGATGTTTCACAGAACAAAGGAAGGACAGGAAAGGAGAAGACAGAGGAATGTTTTTATTGTATTCCCTGTAGTTACAAGCTTTTAAGTGCAGCCTTCAAAATTACTCTCTATTTCCCATTCAGAAAAACTACAACAGTTCAAAAACTACAGTAGTGTTACATTTTCTCAAAGGCATTTCTTAAGGCCACTTCATTATTCAGTTTTTCCTTTTCTTAATTAAAACTAATGAGAATCATAGTATTAATGCACACACTAAAACCCACAGGAACAAGCAGTTAACTATAGTTTCTCCATCTTACTTTTTATAAAGAAATTCCCCTGCCGCAACTGCTACTGGCCGATGAGCTGAATAAACCAGATGGTAGACATTTTCACAGTCTTCTGCAGTCAGAACTTCTTCACTACTCCTAGGAGTGAGGATGGGAAGAAGGAAAGGGGGGAGAAGAAAGAAGGAAAAAAAAAAAAAACAAAAACGTGGAGTCAATAGAGTATGAACTCTAATGAGGGAGATGGAAATGAAGGAGAATCGAAACCTTTTCTTTCAAGTCTTTCTAAACAAGAATTACTGATAAAGTATGAGCGTTTGGTAGAAGGTTATGCTCAAAACTCCAACTACTGTGTAATGTTCAATGCATCCTATGTTTCTTCAGTTCAAATATTCCACAATAGCTTCAAATTAGGGAGGCTGAATTCTAAGTTTCTAGCCTTTACACCTACTTAACTGTGGTAGGTAAGTAACAGCACTGTTCTAGCCAGATTACTTTTGAAATTCCCATTTGTTCAAGTGTAAGATGCATAGACATTTCTCTAGACTTTGGATTATCTGAATTCTGTCAAGCTGCTGTCCTTGCCCACAGGTACGAGAAATACTTTCAAGTTTTAATATTTGTCGTAGGTCATTTAAGGAGATATACATGTACTTACTGTAAAACAAGAGTGAGTAATTTTATTGCTTGGACTGCAACATCATATTCTTTGTCAAGAGTCATAGACACAATTCTATCCTAAGAACACAAAAGAAAGTATTTTCAAAGAGGAAAGTGTAATACAACTTTTAAAAAATTCATACGTACTGAAAAATATGAAGTTACACTAACCTTGAACCGACTGGTGAAGAGTTCCAATTTGGAATTAAGCTCTTTATTGTAGTAAAGCCCTTGCAAAGCAGTTAGGCATTTGAGTCTTACTTCCCCTTGCTAAAATAAAATGAATAACTGGATTAAAAGTCAAGTATAGGATACAGATGTGATCTTCAGATCATACAAGTTTCTTTTGCAGTCTGAATTAATTCAAAGATTGAATGTTGTCAAAGATATACTATCAACAATCATGTTAATGACATAAGAATGTTGTTTGTAACAAGCCAATGAAGGGATCCCACACACACACCAAAACCCCAATGTCTTACTGCAGTTAGTATCTCTGTAAGTCAAAATACACTTGTTCCATTCTCTAAAGTTGTACTCTAGATGCTCAAGATATTTCTAAATAGAATTCTGTGTGTTTCCTTTCACTTAAAAAGGCAACATCTGTATCATTAATGACCATCTCTTGCTAGATCAGAATTACCAAGTAGATAGAGAAATATTCCTCCTGAACTACAAGATTTACTTCAGCAGAGAACATGTTTTAAGGTGTAGATACAGAAATACCTTTAAAAAGTCTAGGACAACTGACTTCACACAGCTTATCACCCCACTGCCAGAGGTTATTGGTTTTTGATATCAAACTCATGAACAGCATAGCATGAGTGAGCATCCCTCACGTTTCACTTCAAATCCGATAGCTCAAAGTCTCCAATGCAAGAACTGAGACAATGTGCTGACTCAATAACGAATCAAGGAGTATTTGTAAACTAGATCTGTTGACCACTCCAAGCAGAGAATAATCTCTAGCTGGTAGCTGGTAAGTAACAGCTTGAAGCACTCATCAGCACAAAAGGGGACTTTTCCCATGGTTTTTACAGATAGCTGAGAATCCTAAAAAGTTTCTTAACTTAGCAAAACAGAGAAACTGTTAGGCTATATGACTGGATTATTCCATGTGAAATGCATTAATTTTAAATAGTTAAGTATTATAAAGTAGAAGTCTGTATCAGCAAAAAATAAATAGAAAAAGCCATTTCCTTACAAACAGTTCCTTAAAAATCTATACATCCTCTCTAAAACCATTCAAAAGATTCAAGTCTATTTTATATATGTATGTTGAAACACCCGTGCTTCTGAGTGATAAGTAAAGCAGCGACTGATGGAAACAGTTAAGAGATCAGAACCTAGCCTGGCAAGATCAACAACCAAAAATATGGAGTTATGCTTCATGATTCTGCTCCTTTTCCTCAATGCAGCTTACCTTATCATGCATAGTCCACCCTACGTATTTTAAGTAGCTGTCATTGAGAAAGGCATCACTGTACATCTTCATCCATATTCCAATCTCTTCAATACAGATAGCTCTTATTTCAGCAATTGCATCTCTGTGGAGAGAAGTGGGGCAATAAGATCACACAGATGAATAATTAGAAATAACTTGTCACCAGCTTCCAAAATAAACTAATGAAGCTACAAATTACTTACTAAGAGAAACTTACCGGTATCTATGCACAAAAACACCTTTAAATATTGCATTCATCATGTTTTCTATTTCATCCTGATTTTCCTGAAGCTGAAAGAATGAACAGAGTACATAAACAGTGAGCAGCACTTTTACAGTCAGATCAGATGGTGCTGATGCTAGACAAACTACATTAAGTTAACATTTGCAAGTGTGGCCACTAAATCCTTTCCTGAAATATTCACAAATCTGTTTCACGGTACAATATGCTATTATTTAAGGAATTGTGTCTACCACAGCATACAAATTTTAGTAATTCTGACCACTGGAAAACTGTTCTTCAACTGTAACAAAGACATCTTAAGAAAGGAGCTTGCAGAAACCTAAGTTACTTATAAGAAAACCCGATTTAATTTTCTAGTTAACTTTTTAATCCCAACGTTCAGCCCAATTTTTAATACACTTACTATGTTTTATGGACTTGTATTATTAGAACAATACCAAAATCATGTGAACTGCATTACAAGTTTTTTCTGTATGCTAAAGAATTCATAATCTAAAAAGACAAGATACAGATAAAGAACTTTGCAAATGGCTACATGAGCAGCATATACTCTGTTTTGAATACCTCTCTCCTCATCATCTATTCCTTAGACAGAAAAAAATGCAGAAACTGAGTTAAAGTATTGCAGAAAAAAATAATTTAAGAATACGGAGCTGAAAATAAAGGAGGAGACAAATCCAGTCTCAGAGTAACAACACAAGAGCAAATGAGTTGAAAAGTGATACATGCAGTGTTTTAAAACACAGAAATTTGTATTTGCTTTGAAAGTGCAAGGAAGTCAGTTGAAAGATTTGAAAATAACTAAGTATTGTCAGCATACAAGGATATTCTTTTTGCAGTCTGAACACCCAAAAAACCCCACAAAGAAACCACCAGAGATACTACCCAGATTGGGGAGGGTGGGGATGGTGTGCATGTGCAGGGGAATGGATACAAAAAGTAAAGGACCTCTCCTACAGAAGTTTAGAAAAACAGCAAGAATGAACACTTTCCATAGCATCACAAGACTTAGGAATTTATGGAAGAAAGGAAAAACTGTAAGGCTAATACAGTAAGAAGAAAAAGACTAAGCAGCAGGAGAAATGGACTAACAAAGCAAAATATTTAACATGTTCTGGGCCTAAATCTAACACCTGCCTACAGTAGCCTCTGAAGTAGGAAGATGGGAAAAAGAATTAAAATACTAGAACAAAGGACATGCAAAAAGAATCAATGAACAAAGTTAATTTTAGTACTGGGTAAGGCTGAGTTATAAATGAAACAAAACCTGAAATCAAACAAACAATTGAATGTTACTTTGAAGCTTACTTTCATTTAGTAAAAGAAAAACGGAAAATCAAAACTGAAACTGGAAAAGCTGGTACGAAATCCTAAAAGCCAATATACATAAGAGCAACTGAGATTGAGAAAAGTCTTGATCCTCACATCACCGCCTTTTCTGTGTATCTATGTATTACTTGTAATAAGACTGGTCTTGCACACACATCTAGCACAAGTACATTTAATGGGTGTTTAAGGCATCAGTCTCAAATTGCAACATCTTTGTGAGATGAACAGAAGACAAAGTTGTTAGTTTATCTGAATTGTTAAGAAAATAAAACCATTAACAGGTAACAGCACAAAAGTTGAAGAGCAAAGGTGAGATGTTTCCTTTGATCATGAGGTTATTTCTAACATCTAAACCAAACAAGCAAAACAAACAAGCAAGACAGAACACCAGTTCCCCCCAAAATAAAAACTTAAACCTGAATGAATTAGGGCTTTCAACAAGACAACACTGTCAGCAATGAATCAGCAAGTCCCTTTTACACAAAAAGAAAGAAAATAGAAAATTGCACTTTCAATTTTGACAGTGTTTTCTGTAGAAGAAAAAAACCCTTATCTAAGGCCTTTAAACACACTTTCTGCTGAGATTGGTATTGCCATCATAAAAGCAGTATTTTGCCCCAGGATCATGGGGTTCTTCTCTAGAAGCCCAAAACAGTGTATGGTAATTTTTGTTCCATATTCGAGCTCAGTTTAGGAAACGAGTCAAGAAATACAACAAAAAAAATTATCTACTACTGATAGCAGTCTCTCTTGCTAACTTTACTAAGATGGAACTATCTGAAAATTTTTTAAGAGTCTACATCTATCTCTTTTTACAGAAAACCAGACGGTAAGAAGCACCTTTCAAAGTAATTAAGTTTTTCAAACATTAAACATGAACAACTTCAAGAATGAAACAGAGGGACTAATAACTACCTTTACAAAAAAAAAAAGTTACAGAACAAGATTAATTATTGTCATTTACCAACACTCATCCTACAGCCCGACAGTTGCACTAACCTCCTTTCTTTTCTGTAGTAAGAGTTCCAGCCTATCATTAGCTCGTTTCCCAATTATTTTATTTCGTTCTGCTTCATACTGACGTTGTGTATTGTCCATGTTAATACTAAGATTTAATGCCACATTCACTAAAGCAGTCATCAGCTTCATGGCTACAAAAAAAGTGAGAAGAAGGAGGATTATTCAAAAGGTTACCAGATCTAAATAAAATGACAAACAAAAATCTCGACACCTTCTCCCGCCAACCCTTTCTGTATTTATGAAAATATATTCCCTGTAAATTTCTTGATATGCAAACTTTAGCAGTGTTTTACTAAGCACTGTATCATTACTTATCAACACAGTAGATAATACACTGATATTTTGTTCTTTCTGTCAATTTTTTAATCCTATAATCATTATTAATTGGGATTCAAGATATGCTTAATTGGGATTCCCCTAAAAAAATGAAGGTGGAATGTAAGACTTACAAACACAGCCCAGGAAATATTAAAATGATTCCATTATTAGGATCAGTTAGTAGACTGATTTTACCAAATCATTCAACCTCAAACATACAAGAAGTTTCTTTCTTCAAAAGGAAATGTCTTAGACAACCAACGCCACCATATCACACCATTCTTTTTCCCTCAATTTAATTTTAATGAGGGGCAGTTTTCTTTAAATATTCCTTTATTTGCAGAAGCAGAGAAAGGATATTAGCCAATTAGAAGCCACAGAACTGACCAAAATGTAAAATATGCTTGGGTGGGATTTTTTGCATGCTTTTATTTCTGAATCAACCCTTTTAAAAAGGGTGCAGACAAATATGCCTATTCTGGAAACCAGGAGGTGGTCAATAGCATACTGGCTTTTCTTACGAACTTTTGTAACAGCAAGGCATGAAAGGGCTTGCATTAGCAGAGCATCCCCAGAACATTATTAAGTGTGTATCACTAGCATAAAGTCGACGAGTAAGGCATAAAGACATGCAGATATATCGAAATATCATCACACGCTGTGATCTCCAAGGACACCAAGACAAAAAGAACAAGTCTGAGCTAATCACAGTAGCCAAAATTATTGCAAATAACAGTAAATATGGATACAGAGATTTTGTTGGCTGTCTCTATCCCATATAAAACACAATCTTCAAGAATACAAACTGTAATCTCATATGAAATGCACAAGTAATTACACAAAATCAACAGTATCAACTACTAATGTGAACAAATGCAAACAGACCACTGATAAAAATTATTTTGTATGACAGAAATTAACATGCAACAGGGCAACTTCTGCAACTTTTATTCAGGCACAACTGAAATTAAAAAAGGTAGTAAAAACTTGGTTTTTAAGAACTAGAATTTGTATTGGTAATATGGTACAACAGTCAAACTGATGCTGCAGCAGAATCAATATATTCTCCCAAAATAGAAGGGTTTGCTCCTCTCGCCATAATAAATGTGCAGCAGCAGCCTGATGCACCGTGTACTCATGTATATTCAAGAGACATGATCGATGAAATAGAACAACTGATCAGATAGTCAGAACTGAAGCGATCTGCAAGTCAGCCAGTTCCAGTGAAGCTAACAAGACCTATTTCCAGCGTGGCAAAAACTCAGTTTCACATACAGTCTAAATTCACCTTGTTCAGACTAAGATTGCTATAATAAGCCTTACATAAGTGGACTGCTGCACAATGCCATTTGAGACCTTTCTTCGTTAATCGACACCAGTTTAGGACTTCCTTACCCAAGAAGCTTATCCTTTGTCCATACAGTGACATATTTATTTAAAACACTCCATACTCAACTCATAAGAGATTTCTTCATAATTTAACAGATTTGAAAAAAACTCACATGAAAAGGACAATTACTTAAAACCATACAGAAATTTAGTGACTGTATCACTGATGAATCATTCTTTAAAATTATTTCTAATGCAACAGATGGAAATGCTACTTTCAATTACATTGTGCCATAGCCTCAATATACAACACAATTTAAATGTGTAGTAAAAGTCGCATCCAATCTAAAATATGACTCCTGTTTGACTTAATGCAGAGCATAAACAGGTTCAACTGCATTTGAGGTTAAAAAGATACCTACACCCTTACTGTGACCAAAGACAAACTTGTAGAATCAAGCGGAAAGTTTCCTTCTGTTTACTTTCTCTACTAGACTTAAAGGTAACAAAAATTAAGTACTAGACAGCTGGAAGAGAATGCTTCAAAATAATGCTGTAATTTTCAGTAATGAAAAACCAATGATGAAAAGATAAGAAAGCTGTACCAAAACAAGATGCATTAGATAAAAACTGTATCACACAATAAAACACGAGTTGAATGTTGAATATCAAGTTCAACCAGAACGATTCTTTCCTGTGCAACACAAAACATAAAATGGAAGCAATACAGATAAATACAATTCACTGACCTGCCAGTGTGCTAGTGTGCCGAAATGCTCTGACTTGTGAGTCCGACAGCCCCGTAAGCAGTGAAATGACAGTATCCATCATATATTCATCATATATGATGCTATATTGACATTGTCGGACGAGTACTCCAATGAACTCACAAAAACTGGATTTGAACTTCTTCCACTGGGGACCAGCCATAGTTAGTGGATAATCTCCACTATCCTATTAAAAAACAAAAAGGGAAACAGGAAACTCTTTCAAACATCTTAGAAGTTATTTTATTAAATGAAGATTAAAAAGAGATGGGTACAACTTTAAAACAAAAATCTCCTGTGCCGTAAAAACAATACATGAGAAGAACATGATTCCACAAATATACATCTACTTTGCAGCTTGGGCTTGTTATATGCAGAGACAACATTCTGCAAGTCTTACCATAAAAACTGCACATAACCAGATATTCCAAAATAACTACTAATATCTTCTCTCTGTCCTACTCCCTAAAAAAAAAAAATTCATACCCCCCACAAATCGGCTTCAGGTTACACTAGAACAAAAGAACCATCACATGAACAGTTAGTTGACATGTTTAGGAACACTCAGTTCAGGACTGTAACAAAGTTTACAGGGAGACGTTTACATATCAGACTGAAAATTCCTGAAGTCATAAAATGACCTACTATAACACCTTGAATATAACAAACGTGTTTCTCTCCTGATTTGGGAACCTTTATAAATAATGGTAAAATGATGGGGGGTGTGTGTGTGTGTGTGTGTGACAATCATTTGTATCCATGCTTCTGTGATCAGCTTCTGTAAGAGGCTAAACAATACAGGTTGAAAATGAAGAAGGTATCCATGAAAATGGATTAGAAATCCGAGTGCTGTTCATTAGAATCCTGTTACAAGAAAGAGCGAGCATAACACACTGATAACACACTGAAGCTTTATAAATTTCACACAATATTGCCTTATAGTAATCAAATCAGTTTTGATTGAGACAGTTCTAAGGAATAATAAAATCCTTTTAAACTAAAACATACTATGTTTTCCCCTCTGTTAAAATTTACCAACGTTTTGGATTTTAATTTAGGTATGGGGATTACTTCCATGTTAGACAAATTTTGGGAGGAGGTTTTAAAGCTACCTTTATGTTCTTTGGAACACAGGGTGAAAGGAATACCACTCAAAAATAAACTCCCTAACCCCCCAAAAAACCACCACCACACCAACACATCTCATTTAACCCAACAGTCAGTGGAACAGAAAATATGCGACAATTTAAAGGAAAAAAAAGTTAAAATACCCATGAAAGGCAAAGAATCAGTCTTCACCTGGAGAATAATCAAATTCAGATCCCCATGATTTGTAGATTAATGAATACATAAAAATAAATTTACCAACCATTTTAAAAGTTGAAGAAGACTTAAAGGGCCTTACTTAGGAATGCGGAAGCATCCCACCCAGCCCCACAGTAGTAGGAGTTCCCACTATTCAAAAACTGGAAGTTAGTACTGATTTCTTAAACCATTAATTAAAACAAGTTATATATATGCAGAGTTTTACTTCCTAGTCTCCTAAGTTCAGTGAAATAAGGGAGTTCAAGATTTTCATTCATAGAAGTCCTGTCATTTTTGCAGCTGACCTTACCCTTGAAAGAAACCTGTAGCAACACAATCCAGTAAGATTAGGACAGGTAAAATAAAAAAAATTATTATTAACACATTATCAGCAACTTCATTAAATTACCTCATCAAATTCTTCAGTCATTTTTCGGATTATTTCAGAATTCTGCATATGTCGGAACATCTCTGCTGTAACAACTCCTACAATTTAGATATTAGATTATTAGCACTTTTAATATGAAAGAGGTAGATGGCAGATGACATGCCTCCTGATACAATGTAAAAATGATCAATTTTCAGCTAACCTACAGATTACATGTATTTTTTAAGAAGTTACTCATTTTTTGGTTTAGCATCTGTGTATAACAAGTGCTTGGCACCGATACTTTTTCTTTTTTATATATATATACGGTTTTGTTATTTTTCTTTTTTAAAAGTGTGTTTGTGTGTGTATACACACACATCCAGAATTTACTCATTCACTCAATTCAGAAGTCAAAGATACTTGTGCCAGACCTCTTCATCAGCCAAGAGACTACGCTAATCTGAAGTGACCTTTCAGGACTCAAGATTCTAAATGGTGTAAGACAATTTTGAACAGTTCTATTGCTACTTATTATCTTCTGCACTGTAATAAACACAGTGGTTTCACGCAATTTCTATTTCTCAGCCTCAAATTGTTAGAGTGCAAATAGCGATATAAAAACCAAATAGATCTCCTTAAGCTTACTGCAACTGTACTGCAAAATTCATGACAAGGATCATCTCGGAAAGTATTAAAAGATTCTGTAGTTTTATGTGGCAACAACAATCAAAAGGTCACTGCTCTTGAAAGCATGGATAACCTCTGAGAAATGCTGTTAGCTTTCTGGAGATTTATGCATGTTAAAAGTTTATCAGGACAGGGAAATGTTTGAGCAGAACAAATTACATCCAGTCCTACTTTATCAAGCCCAGTGACACTACAGGGTAAGTTACCTTCTCCTCTTCAAAAGGAGGTGAGGAGGAAAAAGAACAGAGGACATGGAAATGAGGAAAGAAAACCAGAAAATAAAGAACAAAATAAAATAGGGAAATACAATCTTACTGTAGACAGGCTACCGTGAAGCTGTCCATAATATCTTTTAAATCAAGCATATCTACAAAGGCTAGGAAACAATCTTAAAACATTCAATGATAAGAAGCAGATACATCCAAACTAGAATTCCAAGACTGAACAAGCTAAACTATCAGTGATAAGAAAGAGAGATGGTTTCCTGAAATAATAGCAGGAGCAGAGCAAGATGAAGTTAAGTGTTAAGTACCAGTACTGCATTCTCTCTGGTGTGAATACAAAAGGCTTAATCTACATTTTTAAATATAGTATAATATTTCTAAATCTCCTGCTCTCACCTTCAGAAATACTAGCTTAACCACAAGAACCTAATAACGTAAACTAGCTGCAGGGATGGAGCGGTCCTACAGCATATGTAGTATAAAAGCTAAGAATGAGAATACTATTACTTAAATGGATGAGTAAACATTTCAGTATCTTACCTTTGCAGCCTGAACACTGAATAAAGAAGTTAATGAGATCAAGAAGTGCTATATCTCTGTCATGTTTGTATGACTCTATCCAGTCATCCACTACAGACTGAAAAGAAACAAATATAAAGGCACATTTTAGTTTTCATAAACTGAAGACAGTTTTATTTAACTGCTTTCCAGTAAGTGATTCTTCTTCCTTCCATAACTTGAATTCTGTCGGGTTTTGATTAAAACAGAACAAAATGTTTGAATGATCTTTTACTACCATAATACCAGTTTTCAAGAGAACTAATTTTATTCTATAAACATATACAAGTACAAAACTGACACCTAAACACAAAGCACAGGAATACCATACAGTCCTACAGTAACTTTTTTTGAGGAAGAATGCAAAAAAAATTAGGTATATTTTACAGAAGCAGGTTTTATCTCTTTTTTTTTTTTCTTTCTTTCTTTCAAACTAGTGATGCTTCTGTAAAGACACTATTTAGGTGTTCAGTTCCAACAGCTACAACTCCCTATACTCTTCAAAAGCGTTGCCCTTTGATGAACTGTGCTCCACGCACATTAGCCATAACAGGATGAACAGCACTGCTCTACACTGGTTGGACTGGATGATCTTAAAGGTCTTTTCCAACCCAAACGATTCCATGATTCTATGACATTAATTACTTTGTATTCACTAAACCAAATAGGAACAAGAGCATTTTACTAAAAAAAACCTTAAAGGGAAGCAAATCAATAGGAAACCTGTGATAATGGTTTTGAGAAAAACAGAATTTACATGCAATTATGTTTAAACCATCCATGTGTGTAGTACAAACTGTCTACTGCAGAAGTCATAAAAACATACATCATACAATTAATTCATTAATGCAGGTGCAAGAGACTCACTTTAGTATCAAGCCCTCTGTTTTGAGATTTTTAATATGTTGATACCCTGCCCTAAAAATCTAGAGTCATTCTAAATAAAGAGGGATGATGTAATAGTTCAGAACTTCCAAAAGACAATTGGACTACACAGCATCTCCAATGCTTCCTGTCTGTACTCTTCTCAGTGCTTACTCTCACAGGCAATAATGCTGTGAGGACAAATAAAACATACTGCCATGCAGAAAAATTTCTGAACAGAGATACAGCTAAATCCCTCTTCCCTAAATTTAGGATTGGTTATAGTATGATGCACAACTTTTGTCAGCAAGACAAAAAGAATGAAAAACTCAAAGTGAAACTGTCGTAGTCTTTCCAGTAGGAGCAGAACCTACAAACTAGTACTGATTTGATTTATCTGTAAGGAGGGTGGAAAATATTCTAGGAAACATCTTAAACTAGGCTTATAAAGAAGGTCACTGTGCAAGAACAGGATAATGCTAGGAACAGGACAAATATTTCAGTTAGGCAGCCTTGTTTTCAGAATTTATTTAAAGAACCTCCAGCAAAACAGTAGTTTCCTCGAAACATTTTGTCTCAGTGGATGAACCATCTGTTTTTGCCAGAGAATAGACACTAACTCAGAAGATGATATGGAACAAAATTTAAAATAAAATAAAAACTATTGGAAAAATCTTTTCAGGTAAGCAAGCACTGAAGGCCACTGAGAAAACTTTTTACACTGCGTTCTGAAGTGGACTTTACTTTAGAAATACTCTGAGACTTTTTTTTTCCTTCCTCAGTTTTGACAAAAAACATTGACTAAGATTCACACTATTATCCAGGTATCAATTCCCCAATTCAACAGAGTTATCAGGCCTGGCAAAGGTCCATTTTGCTCTTGGAAAGCAAAAGATTTTGACTGTGTATCATTTTAAACAGTTAAAATGTCATGAAGATACAGCCACTGATAATTGGCTAAAATTGTAGCACACACAGCAACAGTTAGAAAAGCACAGTTTTTGCACCTGCTTTGAAATACGGCAGAACAAAACAAATGACGGAAGTATCAGAATTTCGCTGTGCAAGTGCATCAAAGCAGTCTGTTCTTTTTTAAAAGTCTGAACTAAATTTCTGCCAAGGAATTCAGGCTTCAAGGTTCGCAGCTCTAATACAGGAGCCTGCAGATCTCGAGAGGGCTGCATATAGACCCAGCTTCCTGCATGTGCACCACAGAAGCTGTAAACTCTAGATTTGCAATCCCAAAGATAGTCTTTCTTCGAGACTGCTGAGGAGTCACATGAGCGAGTCAGCAGGAAGGCTTCACAGCTGACAGGCTTACACTGTAACCCTCTCTCCACTGGAAGATTCACACAGTCAAGCAAACGCTTTACCAATTTAACCGAGTTCAAAAAGAAAAAAAAAGTGCTAAATTTCTTAATAGACTGACTTCAGTCCTATTAGTAAATGCAGTGGAGACAATGCCTAATGCAGAGACTTCCAACAGGTTAAAACTTCCTGACTCAAATTCCACCCAATCAGAGTGTTGCAATATACATTAGCCAAGTCAACTTAGGGGAAATGTAAAGAATAGCCCTTAAGCTGTAGCTAGTGATTTTACTTTGGGTAAGAGAAGTAATGATTTCTTTTCAGATAATCTAAGCTCTGGGAGCATCTACAAACTACAGATTTCTTGTTAAGTTCTATGACAACCATAGGCATAAACCACACTTCTATTTAGTTACAGCCACACAAAAACGACTTTAAAGTCATGTAATCTAAAAGAACCTTTCTTCATTTAGGATACTGAAAATTCACTTTGAATCATAGTTTGAATTCCTTCATTATCTATATGATTATTCATGCCTGACATTTAGAAATGAAAAATCAGTTCATTCAAATTCAAACCTTAACAATGCAAAAGTACTTTTTTTTTTTTTAATCTTAATCTGGAACTAAAAACTACAAAGTGAAAAAAATTACTTTAGGCTTCATTCTATTAAATCGTTTATTAAATACAGGAAAATAGTTATATTTAATTTGTATATTCATCCAAGTCATACAGATATCCCAAGTCTTACCTGCATAGCACTCTTGCCCATTTTAACTACCTCAAACAGCATCATGTTTTCCACACCATTCTGTTGGTGATGTCCATTCATCCGATTTGGACCACCAGGCTTCCCTCCTCCGTTTCCACTTTTCCCCTTCTCTGCTGGTCCTTTTTTCCCTTTTTTACAGGTCTGCAATCACACACACGCACAAGAAGTCTTAATTGGTTATTATGTAGTAATTTAAAAAAACCTAAATTACTATTCAAACCATGACAACTATACACGAGGCCTTTTGTTTTCAGGAACCAGATTTAAAATCCAAAGTTGAGAATAATAGCTGATCCTGACTGATACAAAGACCAACTGGTTGGACTGGATGATCTTAAAGGTCTTTTCCAACCTAAACGATTCTATGATTCTAAGAATTCTACAGGTTCCATTTTCCTCCTTCCCTCATTTAAAATCTTCTGGCAACTAGAAATGCAATTAGTGACAGTGTATGACACAAAGATTTTTCTTGTGTTTAAATTTTAAAACAAATTATTTAATTTTTTAATTTTTTTTTTTAATTTTATTTAAAACAGCTATGGTGATTCCCTTAACACACGTCACAAAGTCTCCTCTGCAATTCATTAACCTTTTGTTTTTTAATTTGAGCACGCACTGGCAAGTGGGGTTAAGGAAGAGCAGACACGTCTTAGCATTTGATTCCCCAAATCAAGCATGACTTACAGAAAGAAGAAAAAAAATTTAAACAGAAATTAAAATGACTGTTGTATAAAACTATTTATCACCACCAGTATGGAGAGAGACAGGCTACTAATGTGGGTTTAAACCTCCCCACTCAGGTAGTGTCACCTCCTGCCTGCAACCCATAAAAAAACCCCCTTTTTAATTGAATTACTGGTTCCTGTTCACTTTTCAAATTAAAACAGAGCCAGAATTAATGACAACAACCAAAAGAGACTGTATTAGCACCAATTTTCAGTATAGGATGGAACACATGCAGAGAGACTAATCAAATCAAAGCTAAACTTTTTCTCCCCCACCTCCCTTATGCCTTTATAGCACTTAGGAAATATCACACAAATCCTCAAGATGAAGCATTTCAATGCAAATACAGATATGAACTCTCTTCACAGAACACTTGCATTTTCAGAAAATATTCCTAGCTCGTTCAGCTTCAAAGCAAGTGCTGAACTTTTCAGTTCATGACAGTAGAAGTGTTTCAGTATTCCTATAAAATGAACATACTTTTCCTTTGCCTTGTTTTTGGTTTTTTCCTTCAATATCCTCAAAGTCTGTATCGGAAGAGAAGTGTGTTTCAGACTCCCTGCAGGGATAGAAAGACAAACCATTTACACATTTCATCAGAAACATTCTTAAATATACTACATGAAGTCACATCATGCTCTCAGTCCAGTAAGTCAGCTCTAACAGTGAAACTGCTTTTTTCTTCTGTTTAAGTCGAGGAACAGATTGGAGCATATCCTCACACTCACACCCTACCCTGCCTCCTCCAAACAATTTACGTGCAAAGAAAGCCATACACTAAGGTTAAAAGATGTGAAGTGGGGTAGAAAATAGCAACAGTTTGGGAATCTTGCTTTTGGCACGTGACAAATATTGCGCCATCTCAAAAAGCAAAGGGCACTATAAGTATCTGTCACAAATACTTCAACAAAAAAAAAAAAAAGAGAGAGAGAGAGGAAAAAACTCAGCAGGGAAAAAAAAAAGAAACCACCACCTTCCCTCATAACCAAAGTGTCTGGGCAGATCTCTTCACATTATTAGAAACTAAGTAACTAGTTAAGAGGTACACACTTATGTTGAAAGGTACAGGAAAAAACTTCAGGTGAGGTTTCTCCGTCAAAAAGGTAGCCTGTAGTTCTGTTTAAGCTTATAAGATAGAAAGATGTTAAACAATACACAAACTTTCTCATTTGTTTAATTTCTTCTATCATTAAAATATGCTGCATCGATATACAAATCCTTTATTGCCAACACTGATTGGGGGTGTGTGTGTGAAATCACCTAAATTATTAATAGCGAATACTTAGCTTACATACTCTCCATTTCTACATTTCCTGTAGAACACAACTTAAATGATGCTACTAGATCTTGTTTTAACACATACATGCAGTACGATGAATTCCAGCTGCTATCACAAATTTCTGATACACACTTCCCAATTCAATTTAGCAATGCAATCATAAAGATGACCGGGGGGCACAGGAGACCCTTTCCTATGTATTTACTCATAACATTCTAAAACAGTCCAGAAACTTAAGGTCTCACTATTGCAAGTGTCTGAAAGGAGCTTTCTGCCTTTTAACATGTATTTTGCTATTTCTGGTTTTGTTGACTATGTACTCTCATATGGGCTGAAAAGGTCTCCAACAGGTGGGGTGGGGGGGAAGAAAGAAAAAGATGAGAAATATTCTTCAAAACTTCATAGGTGTTCTTTTTTTTCACAGGAAAGAATAGAACACAAACTTCAAACATTTCACTAAGCAATGAACTTGTACCAAAAGAGTAAAGAAACATTACAAACAGCTGTAAAAACAGTATTTCATATTAAACCATCTTCCAATTTACCTTTATTTCTCATTAAAAGGAGAAAAACCCCACACAACCAACCTCATTGAAACAAAACCTCATCTTTGTTCTCTTTTTAAATTTTATACCAATTTAATCCATTTCAATAGTCTGTTGAAATGTATTCATGTCAATTTCTTGACAATTAGAGGGCGAGGAACTGGATTCTTCTGGTCTGCTTAAAATAATCACTTTATTTCTCTGTCCAAAATGTAATCTATATCAGATTTTACATCTTGAAAATTCAAATGTCTGTTTCTTAAAAATTGTAGGAAGACTAGCGAGCTAATAAAATGCTGTCAAAAACATCACGGAACTGATGCCTGAGGGAAGCTAAAACTTTGGCTCTAACGAAAGCATTTGGCATTAAGTATTTCAAGTATTAGGCAACCTGCCCCAGTTATTAAGGGCGAATACCTCAACTACTCCCC